AGCAGAAGGATGATATTTGAGAAAGTGAGTGACACTGGTGAGAACAGACAGATGTTTACTGATTCAATCTTCACATGCAAAACTGTTGGTGCATGTTCAAAGTAATTTTCTGAAGATGTGCCTCTTGTTATCTTAAGATCAGTAAACAGCGGCCCAGTATATTTTCCCATTTGTTGTGACTTGCTTATCCAGATCCTCTATATATTCCAGGGACACAGTTACTAAATTTAAAGCTGCAAACAGATTTGTTCTCTCAGCACACTTGTAAGAAACATTTAATTTTACATTGCCAGTTTTCAAATATTTCTATATGGCTAGGTGAAACACTGAGGAATTGGTGTAACTCAGTGATGAATTAATGGTTTGGTCACTAGTGCGAGTTCTTATTTTCCTCTCTAGCAGATACTGGGCCAGACATTTTGGAAGAGTTTAATCAAAATCCTCATCAAAAGCCAAATGAGTGGATTTTAAAGAAAGTTTAATTACAGTGGTCAAACCACCCAGCATGATTTGCTTGATTTGATTAACGTAATGAGGAGCACATTTAATGAGAAATGCATTAATTCATTCAAACAAGTGGTTTTATCAGAGGTATTAAGCATCAGCCCAGATTATGTACAGCAGAAACTATTATAGCAAAAATTGACCAAGGTCAAAGCAGTAGTCATGCCATAATTACAAGCTCTCAGCTGTAATCTACCAGTTGAATTTGGACAGTGCTCATCATGACTGAAAAAGCAGGCTCCCCATTTAAAAAAGCCCCCAAAACACAGGGCTTTGCTTCCATTTCACAGCTGGGATTCCATCCTTTTCTTTCAGATGTTCAGAAGATTCAGGAACTGGGATTGAATTCTCTGAGTTTTATATGGTTACACATGCAGATATTTTTAGCAAATGATGAAGCAAGAGCTTGAATGACCCCTGATACCACCACCCACTCTTAAAGGAAATGGAGTGTTTCCCATTTGCTCTCTGTTTTACCTCCTTCCTGTCCCTGAGACACTCCTGTTCTTAACCTGGAATAGACTGACTTTGGGGGAGAATGATTATTTTCCTTCTGGGGAAGGAAACATCTTTCTTGGAAAAGAAGAAAAAATGGCCTCAAGCAGGCAATATTTGAGAAAAAGAAGGAAGAGTCTCCTTTACACCTTGGTCTCTTCAACTGCCTTCTTTAGATAAATTTCAGCCCTTATATTCCAACTTTACTGTTTCAGGGACCCTCTCCATGGGCTTTACACAGCACCCTCCACCTCTACCCTTCCCATTGGCACCCCTTTGCTGGTGCCCCCTGCTATATCACCCAGAAGCTTCTAATGCTCCTCTCCTTCATATGCTGCCCTGCCCACCATTACCTCTTTGATTTCTGCTGTGCTCCCTTGCCTTTATTCAGTCCCCAGCTTGTTATTCCTGTAGTGTCTGTGCTACCTCTGCGTGAGCCGCCTTTCCTGCTGCTTTGTGCCTTGTCCATATAGCACTGAAACAGCTTTGATTTTCAAGTGCTCTACTTCTAAGCCTGCTTGGCTGCCTGAGCACTTTTTTGAGCACTCTTGCACAGTGGACTTAAGCACTATCTATTTCTCAGTCTTTCATCAGCTACCACCAGTAGCTGGCAAAGGAGAGCAGCTTTGAAACAGTTCCCTAAGCGGACAGGAGGCTGGTCAAGGAGCTGAGAAGCAGAGCACAAGCCCAGTTGCTGATAGGATCCTCTGGGGTATGTGCATCCCGACAAGCTAAGACTGGTGTGGAGGCCACATTTTATCTCCTATCACAGTAAAACAGTATTATTAGGGTGCCTACATGAAAGTAGGTGCCAAGGTTCACCTGCAGGTTTGGAAGTCTGGATCAAGACCTTCAAGAAACAAGCTGAAGTTGAGAACTAGAGATGTCATAAAATAGACCTAAGGATTTATTTGCTATATTAATAGAAGATGAGCAAGAAAACCATTCCTGCTGAGCTGAAAACCATAATCCTTAGGATTATTTCTGCCATTTGCCTTTAAACCACAAGGAAACGAGTAAAACTGGAATCAGAGTCCCTTGATTTTAGCGAAATCTTGGGATGTGCCTATACCTGACTGCTACATGCCAACAGGAACCTGTGATATTGGCATATAAACATTTGCAGAGAGGAAAGCATTAACAGTAATGACCTCACCAGTACAACAAGACTGTTCCCAAGGTAAAGACAATTCTGTCTTGGAACAAGCAACCCAAATAGCATATATAGACTCACTACATCAGCTGCCCCTTGATGTCACATTCGGTATCCTTGAGTGGAATCTAAGTGGGAAATCATAAAACATAAATTGGTAGGAGATCATATCTTAAAATACTTTTTCCCACTATCTCCCAGCCCAGAATTCAAGCAGCAAATCAACCTTGCTGAAGTTATTATTTGAGGAAAATTTCCCAGGGACCAATATATCTGACTATATTAGAGTGATAAATATAAAAATTGCAGTTTATCTCCATAGCCCTCAAAAGAAACATCTTCTACAACAATGGATCCTCAGCACATCCATCTCCAAATGCAGACTACTTCTTCCTATGTACCATGTGCCCTCTGTATAGTAGTGAACTCACACGGACAATCAGTGCATGAAAGAAAAGCACGGTTAATAACAAGAGAATGTTTCCCAAAACAGCCATTCTCCTGTGATCGTTCAGCCCTTATCCTCAAGGGAATCCTACAAAAGAAATGGCAAAGACTAATTTGGGATTAAAACTGATAATTTGATGGGACACCAAAAATTATTGATTCCAACAACAATGCTAATTTTATGGCAGATTACAGTTTACCTCAGACACGATTTGCTAATCTCAGTTTCTCAGGAGATAATTACCTGCGCTTTTCTTTTGTCCTGTGTTCAGTAAAGCTGAAGACCTTATTACCACTCATCTTACTAACATCCCCTCTGTTCCTTTCATCTCAAAGTACCTGACTGATTAATATAATGAAACTGAACTCGGATAAATTGCTTCTGATCTTTGCTTACCTGACAGTTTGCTAGTTATGTCCCTGCTTTTGTTTTACTCCTTGGACTTGTCTGTTTTTCCGATCAGGTGTACTGATAACTGAGATTGTCTCTCTCCACAGATTTTCCTTCTAAGTGTTATGACTATTCCCTCTTTACCAAAAAACCCACCTAACCAGCCTTCACTTTGGAAATATCAAGTGTGATTCCAGATATAGCTCCATTTCTGACTCACAGATTCCTTTTTGAATAGATATACAGCTTTTAATCTGGCATTATCCGAGTTCTCAACTGCTTCAAAGAAATATTTGAGTTTATGCAAAGGATAGGAACACAACTTAACTGGCTGAACATCAGTCACTCCTTCTAAAAGGAAAGGAAGCATCGTTAACTCAGATCTTTCTAAAATGAGAGTGAAATATGACATGGAAAAGATTCAGGAATATACTATTGAACACGGGGCAGTTATGCACCACCCAATGCAGTCAGAGATGAAAATTTTCATTGTCACTTCTCTCTGATACTTTCCAGGTACTGAAATGGTCTTTGGCAATTCTCAGCGCGATGATGTAGTATAGTATATGCTTCCCCCCTTCATGCATGGAGCTCAAAAAACCCATAACTTTACTTCCCTGCATACAAATTAAGTAACTTAAAGCTGTGACAGCTTGAGAATTGTTGACCAGTATCTTAGGAAGGGACTCAATATCATTTTGCCTAGGAAATTTCCGTGTGCAGTCCCCTCATGAATGAAAATATATGGACCTCTAGAATAGCATGGTATGTTTTAGGAAGTATTAAATAAGTAAGTACACAAAGCCCTGAGGTATCTACCACCTTCTGCCAAATACCATACGTTTCCTTGGGCTTTCAGAAGTAGCAGGTATTGTTCTGCTTACAGAGCATGTAGTCCTTGATGCACACTTGGAAATCATTCTTTGTAAACAAGTACCTAAATTTCACATCCAGGGCAGAAGTTCTACATGCTTCTTTCAACAAAAGGCACTCAGAGAAAATTGGAGATAGGATTAAGGAAAGGATTTTAAAACTTGTATTCCTCATCTTGTGAAACTAGGGGTATCTGTGACCACACGAGACCTGCAAACTCAGCATTACCATGTACAAAGTAAATGTTTACCCCATATATATCTGTATGGAAAGGAATTTTTGCAGGTCCAAAGGAAAAGCAGCTCCCCACATCTCTTTCTCCTATTCAGATACAAACAAGGATCTTGCTTCCAGCAAGAAGTTTGTATCAGTGAACTCTGATAGGCAGTAAGGAGATAACCCTCAGCACTGATAAATGGGGACGGCTAACACAATGTAAACATTTGGTGAAAGCAAAATATTTGCAAAGAGCCTAAAAGGCAGGGTGCTTAAAGCCCCACACTGGCTTTCCTTACTAGGTGCACAAGCGAGGGGCACTCAGCTATTGGTCCCACTGCTGGCTCCTAAGATGTTGAACCATAGTGCATGGTACCTATGTCCCAATTTTAATTCCCTTCTTGCCGTTTGGCTGTGCCGCTGCAGTTAAAGTTTCTGCAAGAAACTGAGATGTTTCTGGAGCAGTAAAGCAGCTTTTGCCTCTTGTGACACCGTGTTTTACTGTGCCTGTAGCACCTGCCCTGGGGCTGGTACCACCATCAGCTTCTTCCATGTACAGAGGCAGAGGGTTTCTGGCTTGGCCATCTGGTTACCGTGACCAAGAGCTCTCCATAACACCTTTCTGCACCACTGCAAATTTGCAAATCTGGGGCTGATCACTGGAAGAAATACCCAAATTTATCCCACTAGTGGCTCAACCTCATTTCCCACCTGCGAGTGGGTAACACAAGAGCAGCATTGGGGGTGGTGGAGGGGAAAGGATGAAGCATGAAAATAATGTGAGATGAGGATGCCCAAGCTGACAGGCGATGAAGACCAGCTTTCAGCCTCCTGGGCAGCTGCAGGGTCCCTCCTCAGCAGCCCCACGGGAGGGAGAGGTAGCAGGAGCATGGGCCGTGGTGGGGGTGCGGTGGCCCTTACCTTCTCATTCTTTCTCTCCTCAGCCTTGCTGGCAGGGCCAGGGGTGACAGGGCCACCCAGGGGCCCGCTGCCCGCCTCACCATTGAGGTGGGCTGCGCTGACGTTGGGCGGGGTGATGGCGGCAGCGGCAGAGGTGAGGGGGATGAGGGGCCGGGCCCCTGGGGTGGGCGGCTGGTGGCCGTGCTGTGGGGAGACGGCAGGGTGAGGCCGGATGGCTGCTGCTGGCAGGCGGGAGGGCGAGCTGGGCGTCCGCAGGGGCGAGACCGTGGCGGTGGGCCGCTCCGGGGCCGGCACCTGGGGGTGAGCTGTGGAGGGAGGACAGAGCACGGTTAAGCCTCCCATGCACTGCCAGGCCTGGTCCGTCAGCAACCATCGTTGCCACAAGGCGCCAGGCCCGACAGAGAGCTAAGCTCTTAGCCTTAACCCAGGATATCTCAGCCTGCAAGTGCTTTCACCTGAATCCTAGAAATCCCCCCTCCTGTCTGTGAAAGGCCTGTCTGCAGTCACCAAAATGGCTGGTCCTCCCTAGTGATGTGATTGGGATCAGCTCGCCATCTCTGCCCATGCCTGGAAGTAAATAAAGAAGCCTAACTGTGTTTTTAAAATATCTTATCTCTTTCCAGCTGAGCTGTTTTCCGAACCTCCAGGACCCCCTCGTAACCTGATAGGTTTTGAGGCAACACAACATGGGACCTAAAGGGTTAGCCCAGCTGATCCACACTGACCTCCAGCTGGCAATTACAGTGGAAGGTCTCTAGTTTCAGCCCTAACCAAACGATCAACAGCACATCACTGTGCTGCACAAGATAAATTAAGCAGAAATCCACCAGAGGATTTCTGAGCTCAGCCTCATCTCTGCCAGCCAAGTCCCTAAGGGAATATGCAGTGCCTTTTAGTCTTGCAGCCCCTGCTGAGCAAACCCTGCCTACAAGCACTAGAAACCAGGAATTAGTGCTCGTCTGTTTAAGGGTGACCACTGCCGAGGTCAGCTCTCCAGGGATTTGGAAGCCTGTTGCATGCCTTGTGTTGTAAAAATTATGACAAAGCTCCAGGTCCATTTCCATAATGATGTTGCATTTGACTTCCAGGTTGGTTGATTGCTTAGGTGTAACCTACTCACCCACACTACAGTAGCCTCTACTTTGGTTAGGACATTCACCTGGGATGTGAAAACATAGGATCTGATCACTATGTTATTCTCCTCTGCGGAGAACAGTTCTGGGCAGCTGTCTATTCCCTTTGCAAGCTGAGCCAGCACAGCTTCATGGCTGAAGTCTGGTTGAACTACATCCATTCCTGACAAAAAGCTTTGAGTCCAACAAGTCAGCTCTTTGATCAAAACCCATTTTTCTGGAAAATTTCTGACCCACTCTGATCTGTGGTTTACAGATTCATCCAAAGGATACATTTTTACACAGGACCAGCTGGAGTTCACTCAATCTATAACTAAACAACTATGCTAAAACAGCTCAAACCACGCTTTTCTGTTTCTATGGTTAGCAGCAGCACCCATTACCAGTGATTGAAACAATAAGGAATGCCATTAATCATACTCACTAGACCAGCTGAGCACTCCTGGCAGGAGGGAATTTCATTCCTCAGCCTTATGCCCTATTATCCGAAGGGATACTAAACATGATGGGCCAGTGATCATCAGATTAGCATCTCCAAAGTTTTCATGTTTCTTCCTCACAGTAACTCCTTGACTCTATAACATCTCTTTTTATCGATATTGCTCATAGCAAATCAACCAAACTGTCATTAACCAGCCTTGAACTTGATTTTACCTTGTAGCATGAAGATGGGCCCAGATGCCTTTGACTACTTTTACTATTAGTTACTATTAGTTACTATTAGTTACTATTAGTACTATTAGTTACCATTTGTCCCTCCCTGGATTACCAAGAACATATATTAGAAAGTGTAAATCCTTTCCAGAGAGACAGACAGAAAAGTCACCACTTGAAGTGATTCCCTCCCGATTTTCCCAATTGGAACCTGTGTGATGAGAGCAATCACTAATTTATCAGGGTGGCTAAGCTTGCAGGGTCAAGGTTTTGAACTACTGGTTGTAGGGAGCAGTGACTTTCCTAAATGTAGAAGAAAAGTACAAGAACAGAATTTCACTGCATGTACCTGTATGCCTAAGACTGATTTGATAATCATATTAGGCACATTACTTCTTTCATATAGGACTCGGTGTTTCCAGACACAAAGGAAACAGGAAATACGAGAAACAGTAAAATAAATGGCCTGAGAAAAATCAACTCTGAGCACAGCTCTCACATTCTATTCTGTAATTTCATCTGCTTACTGTTACAATGTATGCCTTTGCTCTGGGATCTCTGGATCTGGACTGTGCTGCATCAAACATGCTATTAATTAGCAATGCTCACTGAAGGCTATTTTTGTTCTATACCACTCATATTTCATTTTGGGTGTATTCCTACATTAGTGGCCTTGTGCAAAATTGATTTGTTACTCATGTATATTGCAAGCCAACAGAAATGTGATTTGAATACTGTGTCAGCTTGCCTCTCTTGGAAAGCTTTTCCAAAAGTCAGTGTGCATTACTCTGTCCTGCAGGACTAAAGAGACTTTGTGAGGGGCTCTGGTCCATAGGATACTGGTGAGGACATCCATTATGGAGAAAAATATTGATAATCATGAAAAATTTACTTTATCTAACCTGGCAAAGTTTTATCTAATTAAAACAACAATCTCATTACCTTCTGGAAGGGCTGGAGAATGCCACACTTAGAAGGTTTTGGAGCAGCTCTGTGGTCCCTGGATCACCCTGCCTGCCAACTCCTTGGCACTTTAGAATGTCAGAGTGACCTGGAGGAGCAATCTTAAATAAGGGAAGCTGCTGGAGGTGTAGCACAGCGGCACTGTGGAAGGAAGGTGTGGGGCATGCCTGTTGCATAGGGCAAAATGATCTGTCACCTCAGTTTTAGGGGAACTCCTCTGTCTGTTGGCATGGGCACAGGAGGCACCAGGAGCACCCAAACTCTCCCTGAGAGCCTTGCCCAGGAGGGGACATTTCTGCCTTTGCACTGTAGGAGCAGAGGGGCTTTTGGAAGGGTGTGACTTGAGGGGAAAGCAGCACTTTCTGAACTAGACAAAAAGAGGATAAATCCATTATTCCTCAGTGTGACACAGATGCCACGTAAGTCCTGCCACTGTTTGTTGAGGAGACTGCATTGTTCGAGATTCAGATTCACATGTATTTGATTATATTTTCTTTCCTTTGGTCTGGACTGTGTAGGAGGTGAGATTAGATGGTCATAATGGTGCCTTCTGGCTTCAAAAAGCATGAATCCATGACTTACACCAGTGTATTTCTCATTTGTGCCTGCTCTGTTTTGTATCTAAGACCTCAGTTTTCAGCAGTCAGAGTCCTTACTGATCTGTCTTTGTAAATACAATGGCTCACATCCCTATAAAATATCAGAAACAAAATTTTAAAAATTTTGCTATAAAGTTCCACCACAGGATTTACTTTTACTTTATTCAACATCAGAGCTGTTTAACACCAGGGAAAAGGGAATAAATTGTACTCTAGAAAACTGTGCTGTACATCAGAAAGGGAACCTCGAAAGAACAGAGGCCCCCTGGTGTGAGAATCTCTTATTCTCATTTCAAAAAGGTGGCAGTATTTTTCAGATCTTTTTCTTTATCGCTAACACTGGGTCCTGTTCTGCCTAATAAATACCTTTCATCCCTGAAGCCCAATGAAATGCTTCTTAATTTTGAGTTGTGTATTACTTGCCCTGTGATAAGGGCAGTATTTTCCCGTCAGCAAGCCAACCGGATTCAGAACTGTTAATCTCCTCAGTATGCAGGGTGCTTGCTTTCACCCAGATAAATTGTATAAATATTTGTAAACACTATAATCTATTTCAGCTGTAGCAACAGAACAATCTGATAAACACAACGTGGTTCCCAGAGATCAATAGAAGCCCATAAATATTACAAGCAAATAAAACATACTCTATTCCACATTGACTGAGCTGTGACTAAAACGAGAAAGCAAGCTGTGGCGATGGGCAGATTTGAGAGGCTTGAGCTCGAGGGGTACAACATCAATCCCACTGACGCAGGATGAGAGGCACTGGCGGGCGTGCACACGTACCCATCTGCATGGCGTTGCGGGTCTGGCTGGCTGGCTGCTGAGCTGAATACCTCAAGCAGTTATTCAGCTGAGGAGAGGCTGCCTGTAGCTGAGGATGTGTCTGGGGAGCAGTGATGGGAACAACCGGTCTGACAGCTGTGGAGGTGTTGGTGTGACCAGCCCCGATGGGGTGGATGACTCCTGGGGCTCCTTTTGTTGTTGGAACTCCCGTGGCTCCGCTGTTCCTGGGCTGCCCAGCTCCCACTGGCACCCTGCATGGAGACAAGGCACAGCATAAGCAAGCTTGCAAAGACCTTAATACACAGCCATGATGCTGATAAGCACCCTCAGTTACTTAGGGGGTTCAACATGATACCCTCTCAGGTATTAAAGTAAACCAAGATATAGAGATATATGTATCTTTATGGGACACAGTTGTAAGCATGGTGGAGGACATTTTCACCCCTTTATCCCATGAGAAAAAGTGCAGGGCAAAAATGGAAAAGCTAATTTTTTGCATCACTATTTTTCTTAAGCTACATTTCTGTCTGAATAGTTTCTAGTAAAATCACAAATCTAAATTCAGAAGAAATGGATATCTCCCGAATGTCATTTTGTGTGCCAGAGGCTCTTTTACAGACACTAATGGAGTGATAATTAAAACAGACTCAGAGATCTTTTCTTAGGACCAAACCTGCATACAGCCCCACAGGGAGAAAAAAAGATGGATAACACCAAATCTGTGTGTGGCTGTTGACGGAGACTGAAAAGCAGCAGACTTGGCAGGGCTTTGCTTGGCTGAACACTTACTCTACCGATGTAACCAGCCCTAGCTTAGATTTGCTAAGGAAATGCAAAAGGGAAGGGAATGCAGCTTACCTTACTGAAAAGGAAATCCAAACAATAATCGACCCCTTTTTCACTGCTCACTTAAACTGTATGCATATGAAACTGTGTTTCATCTGAGTGCCTTCCCGCAGAGGGAAGGAACAAGGCTCTTTCTCCTACACAATGAGTTCAGCCTACAGCAGGTCTTGGTCTTCTTACCACTGAGCTAGAAACTCTCTGACCAGGGCAGGAGGACACTGGGATGATAGAAGGACACCAATGAACAAACTCTGTTGCTGCTCAGCAGCTCGCTCTTTGAGTTTCTTACTCAGGTTCCTGGGTAATTTTCTTCCCCAGCAGTAGATGCCATGAAACAGCGGAACTGATTTGTGCTGTTCTCCTCTCCTGGGCTGCTCCATGTGCCAAGGTCCTCCTCCAGGCAAGGACAGCAGAGGGGATATGATGCAGAATGAAGTATGGTGGAGCAAATAGGGATGAGACAGTGCAAGGGGTTAGCAAGGAGAGGATAACAGAAAGGCTACAGGACCAGCCTAAGGGGGGTGAGATTGTGAGAACATCTGGGGCCTCAAAACTGTTGTGTGGGAGCACAGGGAGGAGAAGACCAGAAAGAAGGAGTATGCTGAATAATCTGGTCTGATTCAGAGGACAAGAAAGACAGAAGTAACCCTAAGAAAAGAATGGAAAGGGGAAGAGTCAAAAGAGTGATGAAAGAGATGGAAAGAGACCAAAACACAGGCTGGGAGATATGGTCCACAAGTGCAAAAGAGAGCCATCCCCTCTGTCCAATCCCCCCCTCCCCTTAAAATCACAGGAGGAAAAAACACTGTGGTGTCATTGACTTGACTCATCTCATGGTACAAGGTTTGCTTGGGTTACATTCTGCTAAATGAATTTTTTTTTTTTTTTTTTTTTTTTTTTTTTCCATCAGCCTCCAGGTAGGGAAAAGCTGGGAATCCCACCAGATGGAAATCTTGACTGTCTGTCATCTGCTGTGAAGAGCTGGCAGGGTAGCAGCAAGGTTCAGCTGGAGCTGGCTTGGCCATCTGCACTAGATTGAGTTTGCCAGAAAAGTACACCTAATAGTCCACTGAGAGCTGTGTTCAGGCAAACATGCACACCGACAGGTAAAGAAACTATCTGTAACTCTCACAGAGTTGGACAGATGTTGGATGTGGCAAATTTTCTTTGCTGCCTTGTGCCTGTCTGTCCATCTAAAGGGTCTTATCCTTTTTCCACCATGCTCTGCTCACACATGTGCTTTGGCAGACTATAATATCTAGTTCAGTGTTATTAAATTCACAGGCAACTTCTTTTTCTTGGGTTTTGTAGGGAGTGGCAGAAAACCATCTATGAATCTAATCCTCTGCTTTGCTGTCAAAGGGGAACAAAGTAAGTTGAAAGTGCAGCAAATAGATTTTGTTGCTATCAGGTTTTTCTTGCTGCTCTCACTGAGGGTAATTTACACAAGAAATTAATTAGCTCACAGGATCATAAATATAATCATAAAGCTGCTTTCAGGTTTTGTGAAAAGCACTTTTGCCCTTTAGCACTTCTCTCTGTCTTGTTCTAGCTGTGACATGCTGCATTTAATAAAGTCTTGCTGATTCAGATCACCAACCCTTCAGCACAAACTTCTTTACTAATTACGAGCTGAAGAGGCAAAGAGTGAAGGCAGCCAAGGGTCTCTATAAAATCAGGTAAATACATTTAGGTTGATGAATAGGGAAGAACCCATGAATTAATGTGGGTTTTTTACTGAAATGCAATATTAGGACTGTCAGCAGGCTTAGTTATCATCTTCTAATCTGCTCTTAACTTTTGGTCTTGCTCAGTCCACATACTACAAACTTGGCATAAACTGAAGGCGGAACAAACCTGAATCAATTCTTCAAGCTCAACATTGAGTTGTAAAGTGTCTTTCTCTGGAGAGGCATGAAAGATGGTGGAGACTGTGTGCATGTGGGAGGAGAGATAGCATATGAGGAGTGAGTTTGATATGCAAACCTAGGGTTGGTGTAAAGGAGATATGGGCATACACATGACAACTTTCACCTGCAAGGAGCACGTGGGGCACAGTGTGACACACTGATGAACTTTCTCCTCAGCTTGCACACTATTTCAGTGGCCTCTAGATCAGAAACAACCTTTGATTTGGTGTTGTCCAATACTGAACTTTGACAAATGACATTCCTCCCCAAACATGCTATTCTTTCCTTTTCTCATCTTCTGCAACTGAGACAGAGGTCACTAAAATCAGACAGTTTACTGAACTCTCCTACCAATTCTGAATTTTAACAGTTCAAACATTACTCCAGATCCACAATCCAAGATTTTTGATTTAAGAAAAATAAAATCTACAGGAGCTACTGAGAAGCAAGACATGAGCATTCCTTATTTTGTTTATTCCCATTACATGTTCAGTAGTTTTATAACAATAAAAAGATCATTAGCCAATGGATTCTTCACAATAGTAAAACCTGGACTCATCAGACTTTGTAAAGTCAGAGGTTGTAAATGCTATCATCTAACACAACTAGTGGAGTCTTCTGAAAACATGGGTAACTCCAATGTTACAACCATCAGTTTCATTACCCAAGTCTGCAGTGCCACCAGAAAATTTCTAGAAGGAGAATGTGATTTAAAAGCAGAGCTACATTGGTTTCAGCATCCTCCAGATGCAGAATCCCTCTCAGCCCCAGCTCAGGCATATCCATCTTGGCCACTGGTCCTCACCTTGAAACAGGAGTCACGTAGTTGCCTGGGAAGACGCCAGACATCCCACTCCTCAGAGATGTCCCCTTGAACCAGCCGTCCTGGCACTTCTCAATGACCCGGTACATCTCACCTTTGCGGAGCTCCAGCTCATCGTTCTTCTGAGGCTTGTAGGCATACAGGGCTAGGTAGCTGTGGGGAGAGGTCACACAAGAGGAAAGCACACAGCTGACATTAACCACCACCTGTCCCGCTTCAACTCCAGCCCCACAGAGGAGAAAGTAGGCAGAAACACTGCTCAGAAAGGCTGGTTAAAAAGGGACATCATTACAGCACATAAAACAAGGAATGGCAGAGACAAGATCAGCTGGATGCTAAAACAATAAGGGAATAACTGATCAGATTAAAGGGAGGGGGTAATTTAGAAATTCATAGGACATGCTTCTCACTCAGGGCACAACCAAAGCAAAACATTGACGCAAAGCAGCACTGAAGTTAAGGACTTAGCAGCAGTTTCAGAAGGATAAGGCAATTTCAGAGACAGCCTGAGTAACCAGGACTTGAGTAGGAAGGCTTTGCAAAGCCTAACATCTGGATGAAGTATCTATTCATATGCTTCAGGGTGAGAGCCACCTTTACTGTGGATTTTCAGAAGAAACCTTCCTTAGTAGGCTACTTCAAAAACATTTAAGGCAGCTTTTCTTGCAGCTTTCTTGCTGCAAGTGGTCTTTACTGACCACTTTCAGAAACAATAAGCCAAACTATTCTGTCCTGGCATGGTAATTTTTGCATTATGTGGGTAAAAGAAGAAGTGACAGAGGGCCAAATTCTGAAAGGGGATTTTCACTTAAGTAAGTGAAGTGGTATCATTTGGTTTTGGATGTTTTGCATCCAAGTTTTCTAATAAATCTTTAATAGAGGACGTAATATGTAGAACTCTTTATTTATTTAATTACAGCTTTTATTTATTCCCTTTGTTTAGACTCTTCCTTTTATCTCTCTTTTGTTCTTCCGTTACTACTTCAGGGATGTGTCTGATGTTGTGAAATGACTACAACTTGAAGTCCCTAAAGATATCCCTCTGTATAGAGATATACTTGTTGAAAATTAAGAGTGATTGCTTGTGTTTTGGTGAATAATGGAAGGTTGGGATAAGATAGCAAAAATGCACATGCAGAACAACACTTTCTTTGTAAATACCTTTTTTTTTTTTTTTTTCCTTTTTTTTTTTTTTTTTTGGTGCTGTTGCCTTTCTACAAATGCAGAAATTGATTTCTGGTAATTCTTGATCAAGTTTGTGCCTTCCTGAGTTTTTTATTTGTGCTTTACAGGCAGTGCAGAGGGATTAGGACAAATGGGGAAACACTTATAGAAAGTGCATTCATACTACAAAGTGCAGCAGAATGTTCTTAGGCTTGGGGGTGGGTGAGAAGAGGCTTGCTGCCCACCTTATACCGGTGAACCAGAGAAATAATGAAAACTATAACCATTGTGATTGTAGACTTGAAGCCAATAAAACTGATACATGGCTTTTTACTTCTGCTCTCCAGGAAATATAATTGAGGAATAAATCCTGTTAGTTTTCCTGATTCTACTCCTTTATGGTGGCAGTAGATTTCCTTATTTTTATTTTGAAGGCAGTAAATAAACAGCAGTAATGAGCAGAATATGAAGTATTTGGTAACAGCTCCTTGGGGCATGCTTAGGCTGATGTGCCTGGGTCTGTTTACCACGTGCATGGGGTGCAAAGACCTAATCAGAAACTGTATTTCATTAGTCAACAGATGGAAGAAACCATCCTGCACATCCTTTGTTTAGCCTATATAATCAGGTGGCCCTGAGCAGGTCTGTAGTTGCTCACCTGATGGAAAACATGAGGCTAGGTAGGAACTGAAGAACATTAAAATACATCAGTCTGACATGAAATAAGGTTGTATGCTTCAGTGCTAATCCTTCAGCACTGTGCTCTGCTAGGATGTAACGGAAAGTGCCAGACTGTACTCACTTAAGGGAGCAGAAAGTGCGGCTTTGACTACCCCTTTACAAGCTGCCGTTCACTCAGGGCTCATATTCAGAAGCTATGGGTAAAGCAGGGGGTCAAGGACAGAGCGTTTTAGATAGACTCACTTAGCTGTTTCCCCAAAAGGCTACATGTAACAATGTAATTTACAGTTTGAGATGCTGGAATAAGGTGCAAGGAAAATTATCCTAAGTGGATCATAGGCTGCTTTCCCTTGCAGATACCTCCAGCTCTCCTCCTAGTTTCTGTTCCTCCCTGCAAATTCCTTCAACTCAGCCTCCAGTAAACCTGAATATCCAATATCACAATGAGCCTAAACATCCTCTGGAGAGAGTACCAAAATCCTCACAGAGACTAGAAGAATGTGTACAAGAACACATCCTGGATGCTATGCCAAAACCAACCAATCTCTGTATGGCTAAACTGATGAAAGCTTCTATGTGTTAACCACACAGAGTGACCCTGGGACAACAGAGATCATCACTGTTTTCTTCATGGACCGGCAATCCCACCACATACATGTGGCACTGATGATGCCTGTCACTGGGGGTTTCCTCTATTAGTCTGCAAAGAGGGAGGGGCTTCTCCAAAGCCAGTGACAGGCCCAGCCTGGGTCTGCTGCCTGGCCGTGGCTGGCATGGCCACCCCATGGGGACATGCATATGCCCTGTGTGCTGGCAGAGAGGGGGCTATGGGAGAGCTGGCGGGAGGCTTGCTCTCCTCCATTGCTAACAATTTGAGTACAGGCAGCTTCGTGCCCCAGAAAGTGTTTCCGGGCTTTTCCTCTGGCAGGGAATCAGGTCTAGTGGTCCCGTTTGCTGAGGCTGATTTTGCTTTAAGTCAAAGCCTCTGGACTTGGACACATTTCACTGTTCTCTAGATTTTAGGTGTGAAACTTCACCAGCAAACTCTCTACAACCAAGAAGAAAGTGTTAAAACAACAATCTGAAATCTCACAAAATGTAATAGCAAGTTATTCTGGGATATGTGAAACAGTGAGGCTAAGGGTTAGGGATCAGGACCTAGAAGAAGCCAAAATGTTTATTAAAGTTCTCTAAAAAAAGGCCTAAGCAAGAAGTTAGCTCATGTTATTGGCCTTGGGAAGCTGCCTGTGACTCCAATTATAATGCAGAAGCCCCAGGGCTCTGTCTAGGGTTGTACCTTCCCAGTTCTGCTACAACTTTCAGATAACACTTCCTCTTTGACTGGAACTTGGCTCACAAATGCAAAATGACAGACTGGATTATGAGGTTGCTTCACGAGGGAGACAACAGAAGCATGGGAGGGAGAAGAGGAGGCTTGCTAAGGCACAGAGTCAGGGCCATTGCCAGATAGCTGGAAAATGTCCTGATTCAGCAACTAGTGGAAATACTGCCAGTTACTGCTTCCTAATCTGGGCAATGTTTGAAATAAATTTGTGCCCCACTATGTGCCACACAGGCTGCACAGGGTGACCACAGGATGATGATGAGACCTCTCTGTAGGGCAGTCAGTGATGTGTTGTACCCCTCAGGTACGAAGATCTCATTTTAGTAGCCAAGAACAAATTTGTTTCGGTTCTGTTCCAACTCCCCTATTCTCCTTCAAGCAGATTTGCTATGTTATTATAGGATTTTATTTGTGAATTCAGACCTTGGTTTAGCCATATCATAAAACAAATACTGGTTTGCGTACATATGTGTGTTCATATAGCTCTACTGCATTTACAAGGTACATGTGATGAGAGGAAAGGGTTCAGTAGTTTAACTAGACAGGTACCAGATAAACCAACGAGGCTAGAAGAGATTTATTATAATGAAGTCTACTCTTTTTGTTCTGTATCTGGTCAACCTTCTGTGATTCTACACACTATTTAATGACCCTATATGCCCATGATACGAAGTTCATTTGTTGCCTTTGTTTACAGCACTGAAAAAATGCAACTGGGTCATTTTTGCTAGTTAATGATGAATGTATTGGGTGTTTGATTGCATGGGACTACACCTTTTAAAGAGCTTTAAATGAAGATTTTCTCTAGCTGAGAGGCATTCCTTTTGCTTCACAGTGATTCATACAGCTGTAATAAATATACCAGGAGTCTAAAAGGGCTCACAGAGAAAGGGGAAGTCTTGCCTTTCTCTACTCATTTTTCAATTTCAGCAGAGGCTGGGTCATGTATGAAATTGTGATCTCTCTCTTCTCAGAATGTTCCTGAGCTGAGATTCAGGCTTTCAGATTACAAACACAAACACACACATGCACACAATTGGAAACAAAGAGTATGCAATGACTGAGATGAGCTGCTTACATATTGAGGGGGAGCTGGACCTTCGGTGGTGTTCCCTGATCTCCAGTTATTGCACTTGTCCTGGGAACAGCCACTGTGGCAGTTCCAGCTGAAGAGGAATCCTGAAAATACACAAAGAAGAACATACAACAATTAAGATGAAGCCCACCATTTCCTAAAATGCTATGAGGTGAAAGCACAGAGGAAAAAAAAAGATCACATCTTTTATCGATTCCCAGACTTTCTAACTTCATGGTACTGCATTAAAAAATACATCTTTTAGCCTTACACATTCCAAAAATACATTTCTGACACAAGGGATATTAGGTTATTAACAGCATTTCCATGTACCTGTCAGAGAAGTTTAGTTGTACCTTGCATGCAGATCTGAAAAGTTTTAGAATGCAAAACTACTTGACTGCTTTGTAAAATCAGCTCAACATGTACATCTCTGTAATATACCTTCTCCAATAAAAGTAACCTTTTCCCCTCAAAAGCTTCTTTTAAAATCTGTACTCTTTTGGTTAATGGTTATAGATCTATGGAGAAGAAGATACTATTCAATTTCCAAAATGCAGTCTCATTTCTGTATATTGTTTTTATCTTCAGGAATATTCTTCTCCTTAAGAAAAAGGCACACAAGAAAAAGACAATGCAACCCAAACCAAGAGTACACTTGAATTGAGAAAATAGGAGTGCACTCCACTTTTACTACAGCAAATAAACCCCCACTCTCATACAGAGAACTGGGCAGATCTTTTCCAGCTATTAACATTGAAAGTAATTCTAAATGTAATCGTTCATTTTTCAAAGCTTAATGCTCACCAAAAGTATGTAGGGAAAACTCTTTTGAGTTGTGTCACCAAAGTCCTAATTCATCTGTGTCAAAAATGAATCCTGACTGGAAACTTCTCCTGAAGTAATGCCAAGGCCTGTAGCAACAGATCTTTGCTGCAAAGACAGGGCAGAGCTAGGCTGATGGGACTTGTAATGGTTTACTTGAGCAAAAGGCTTTTTTAGTAAGTCTAATCAAATGCTGCATGCACATCCATATGCAGAATGGATCTACAAAGTAGGATCCAAAGCTTAAGCACAGATTGCAGGTTCAGACAGAGCCTGTTACATACAACAAAGTTTCTGAGCGGTTCACAGACCTCCAGTGCAGCTTTTCTGTTTCCAAATGCTATCCAACAAACAGTAAATATTGATTTATTTTGGGAACAGAAACATAGGGACTTTTTTTGCACTCAAAAATGACACTGAATTAAACCAAGACACACACTGTTTCTTAATTAATAGATTTCAAGGTCACCTCATTCCAAAGAAACCCACATAATTATTACAGTGTCATGTCTTGATAGTGCATTGCTAAGCTATATTGCTTTGCTGTATATTAAGACAGTATCATTAGGAAATCATGAAGCAAAATATGAAGACACTGCTCTGTGATTCCAAAGCTTTTGGCAACAAGCGGCAAGCTGTCTCCTCTCTCACTGACATCTATGCTCAATCATGAAGTTGTAGTGACAAGTACATCTCCTTTTTCTCATTATTTCCCCTCACTTTCTGGCTGCTTGCTCAAACAAGGAAGGTTCCAGGCAGCTCATAGTCCTATGTGTAAAAGTAAGCATTCTTTCCAGTTCTGTGACTAAGGCTTTATTAATCCTGCCTGTCACATCAGTGAGATAATATCAATTTACAGAAAAAAAAACTAACCCACTCAAAAATGTAGGGATAGATGGAGAATGATCCCTCATTTGTTATTTTGAACTGATTAATGCAGTTAGGGATTGCAGAAGATGTTGGGCATAGAGACCTGGCAGCTGTCTCATCTAAGAAGTAAGTGAGAAATCGGCTGGTTCAAACTTCTTCATGTTGTGTCACCATTGTATGTCTGCTCTGAGCTAGAGAAACTGCCTCCAAGAAAACAGAAAATAGATCAGTCTCCACCCTTGCTTGGTAGGACAAACTACTTTGTTTTTACCTCATGAAAAACCAGAGCTGAGTGAACAGCCTCAGGATGCAACTGTAAAGGAAGAGAAGATTACAGTAATGTAGAAGAGAAAGAATAGACTATTTCAGATTGAAGAGACCTACAACAATCATTTAGTTCAACTCTCTGGCCAATTCAGCGATGAACAAAAGTTAAAGCATGTTGTTAAGGGCATTGGCCAAATACCTCTTCGACATGGACAGGGGCATCAACCACCTGTCTAGGAAGCTGGTTATAGTCTTTGACCACCCTCTTGGTAAAGAAATGTTTCCTGATGTCCAGTCTGAACCTCCTCCAGTGCAGCTTTGAACCATTCCCCTGCTTCCTGTCACTGGATCCCAGGCAGAAGAGCTCAGCACCTCCCTCTCCACTTCTCCTCAGAAAACTGTAGAGAGCAATGAGGTCACCCATCAACCTCTTTTTCTCCAAACTAGACAAGTCCTTAGCCGCTCTTCCTAGGACATTTCTTCCAGCCCTTTCACCAGTATTGTTACCCTCTGGATGCATTCAGGGATCTTCATACACCAGAACTGCACCACAGTACTCCAGGTGAGGTCACACCAGCACTGAACACAGCTGGATAATCACCTCTTTGACTGGCTGGTTATGCTGTGTTGATGCACCCCAGGATGTGGTCTGCCCTCTTGGTGGCCAGGGCACACTGCTGACTCACATTGAGCCTGCTGCTGACCAGCACCCCCAGATTGCTTTCTGCAGGGCTGCTCTGCAGTCATTCCTCTCCCAATTTATACTTGAGCCCAGCATTATTGTGTCCTAGGTGCAGAATCTGACATTTTACCTTGTTAAACTTCATCTGATTAATCACTTCCCAAAGCTCTGATCTATCTAGATCACTCTGCAGGGCCCCTTGTCCCTCAAGAGAGTCAACAGCACCTCCCAGTTTGGTATCATCTGCAGACTTGCTAATGGTGCATTCAACTCCTGCATCCAGATCATTGATAAATACATTGAATGGGATTGGCTCAAGAATTGAACCCTGAGGAACACTGCTGGTGACTGGTCACCAGACAGATGTAGCCCTATTCGCTGCAACCCTTTGAGCTCTGCCCTTCAGCCAGTTCTTCACACAGCACACTGTAAACCCACTCAACCCACAGTTAGACAACTTGTCTAGAAGGATGCTGTGAGGGACAGTATCAACAGCCTTACTAAAATCCAGAAAAACTATATCCACCTCCTTCCCTTCATCCACTAGGTGGGTGACCTTATCGTAGAAGGATATCTGTAGTTAAACAGGACTCATGTTGACTGTTCCTGATGACTGCATTATTCTTTAAATGCCTTTCAATAGTACCCAGTATAATCTTCATAACTTTTTCAGGAACTGAGGTTAGATTAACAGATCTGTAGTTCCTTGGGTCTTCCCTCACACCCTTTTTGTGGATTGAAGTAACATTGGTTAGCTTCCAGTCAGCAGGGACCTCCCCAGACTCCCAAGACCTTCAGTAGCTGACTGAGAGGGGTCTTGCCGTAACATCCACTAGTTCCTTCGGTAATCTAGGATGAATCACATCAGGCCCCATGGAATTGTGAACATTCAGCTATACAGCTGGTCCCTTACAATTTCAGTGTCCACAAATCACTGTTCCCAGACTTGTGGTCTTCCAACTCAGAGAACCGGGCAGCTCAAGGTCTATCACTATTATTAAAGACTAAGGCAAAACCCACACTGAACACCTTAACTTTTTCTTTATCCCTATTAGTCAGATGACTATCTTCAATAAGTATTGATCCAATGTTTTATTTAGACCTCCTCTTGCTATTAACATCTTAAAAAAAGATCTTCTTGTTATCAACAACACTGGCCAGTTTCTACTCTAATTGAGCTTTGGCCTTTCATGTATGGTTCATAAATGAACCATAGCTCTGTACTCTTCCTGTGAAGCCTGACTTTGTTTCCAGAGATCATACAGTTTCTTTTTCTTCTTGAAGCTCCATGACGAATTTCCTGTTCAGTCAAGCTGGCTTCTGCTCCGCTTGCTTGACTTACAGCACAGTGGAATTGCCTGCTCCTGTGATTCTAGAAGGTACTAAAGTTCTCAAAGTTCTTAAAGACTGACCAGCACATGGCTCCCTGAATAGCTTAAAGTTTTCTCTTCTGAAGTCCAGGGTAGCAACTCTGCTGTCCTTTTTTTCTCTTTATACTGAAAATTTAAAACTCAACAATTTCATGGTCACTATGGCCAAGATAGCCACCTACTATCACATCCCTCACGAGTCCTTCTCTGTTCACAAATAACAAGTCTAGGAGGATATCTTTCCTACTTGGCTCACTGAGTACCTGTGACAAGAAGTTATCTCCTATGAACTTCAAGAATTTCCAAGACTTGCTTGTCTCAGCAGTATGATATTCTCAGTTGATGTCTGGGAAGTTGAAATCTCCCATAACAAGATCCAGAAATTTCTCCTAATTGCCTATCGAGTAACTTACCTGGTGCTTACATACTGACAATCGGTAGCAGACATCCACTACAACATCTACTTTGTTTTCCATCCCCCTAATCCTTACCCAGAGGCTCTGCACCACATCATCACTAACTGTAAAGGCTGTGCAAACAAACCTCTCTCTTACACACAGTGCCACACCTCCACCTCGCCTGCCCTGCCTATTTGTCCTGAACAGCCTGTAGCCCTCCATCCCAGCACTCCAACTGTGGGACTCATTCCACCAAGTCTCACTAACACCAATGATATTGTAGCCCTGTGAGCTGCCCAGTGCTTCCAGTTCAACCAGTCTGTAAGATGCATGCTACCCCTTCCTTAGCTTGTACGATCCTCTCTCTGAACACCTCAGCAGAGGCAGAGTTTGCAGAGGTGCAGCTATCCCAGCCAGGAGTGCCAGCCTGACTCTTCAGAAAGACGAGCTCAAGCCTGGAGAGCAGTGTAGCTGTGTGAGCATTATCTACCCGCCTTTTTGCACTGACAGTGGTGGCTTCTTCTATATTACAGGAAGCGTGAGCCCAAGTATTTTCTATGTGCTCTTACGCTTGTACTAACATACAGTCCCAGGGATTAAGAAAACAGATAATTGTCATTCAGTGTTGCTAGATGACAATGTTGCTTTCTTCCCTTGAATAATCCTGAAGAAATCTCCACAGTCCTGCATGC